TCCAAAACAACAAACAACAATCAGCCTTTGTGTTTGGGCAGAAATTAAGGAAATGCCTTCTCCACCAATAGGAGCTCAAACATAAAAGCTAGAGCTTCCTAGAATTAAACTGCTTTCTGGAGACAACACTGTTTGACCCTATAGCTCTGATCCTTCCAGGCAGGGCTCTCACGTGGACCACTGAACACTGCCCAGGGGTTCAGCTGGTGCTTCCAGTGGGATTTCTTGGCCTCCATGTCCTGGACCATCCTCATACAGTCTGTGTGTCTAGCTGCATGTCTCAGTCTTTGTTATCAAACCAGGAGGGAAAACTGAGCTCTGACTGCAATAACTGTCTGGATCCATCACTGTTGCTGCCAAGCGCTATTTTCTTTTTCTATTTTCTTTTTTTTTTTTTTTTTTTTCTTTTTTTTTTTTTTTGTACTGCTTGGATGTTAAAATTGAAAATGTACAGATTTAGCAGTCAGTGGCTGCAGCTAGGGTTTGGCTTTGACTAGTGCAGTCACAGTATCCTCTCAGAAGTTCTGTGGCAGGATCCTTCTGGGTGCATTATTTCAGCAGTGAGGAGCCTGTCTTTGTGGTCAGGGGTGAGTGAGCTGTCACTGCTGAGGCTGAAGCACTCACTCATTGCTCCTGGCAGGTCCTGGAGAGGAGTCAGCAAGGTCTGGAGAAGCTCACTGCTGTCCCCACAAAGAGATCCAGGTCCTAATTTCTGGCTCTTCCAGCGATGACTTAAACCAAGTGCTGATCTCTGTACACTGTAGAGCTCTGGGCATTGTTAACCCTTCTGGTAATACAGTTATTTGTTTCCCTCTGTACACTCTTCCTTCTCCCCTGAATGCAGTTCAGCTGCTCACATGCCGTATGTGCCAAGCAGACAGCTCCTGTCATCAGTCCTTTTTCCTTTGCTCAATTCAGAATACATTGAAAATATCATCTTCAATTTCAGAACTTTTTCTTTGGTGTGGGAGAGAGCATTCCCTTCCAAGAGGGAATTCAGTTCTCCCCTGAGAACTGACTCTTCCTACAGAACAAAGAAGCACCTCTCCCACTGCCCTGCTGGCATTTGCAGGCTGTAATTTACACTGATCATTTCAGGCACCGCAATTATTTTTTTCTCTTTTTTTAGGTTTTTCACAGACACAACAGGAAGCAAGGCTGGGGCTGTGAGACAGCAGCGGGGAGGCAGTGGTGGGGTCAGGATTAGCTCCTCAGGGCCTCTGGGGTGTCTGCTCATGTGCAAGTGCATGTGCTGACTCTTCACTTCCCTTGTCTGGAGACCACTGATCTTCTCCAGGTGTTAGCCCTCTCCAGTGTTTCATGCTGGAGACCACATGTGGAGTTTTTGGCTTCTTGTGGCCTCAGGGTCCAGCCTGGAAATTAACTGAAAGCTTCATGCTCAAGCCCAAAGTGAGTTGGGATTCCTCCTGTTGCATCCCAGCCACCCACTCCCACTGATCTGGAGTTCCCAAACCTCTTCCAGTCTGGCACCTGAGCAAGTGGGAGTGCTGATGTCCTGCATGTGGAACCCGTGCCATCCTCTCTGCTGGCCTGTTCCCAGGGGGTGATGGCATCCCAACTCTGCTCGTACACACATCCAGCCCGTGCAGCTCCCACAGCACAGCGAGTCCTGGGGTCCCCTGGCAGCCCTTCTCAGCACCTCTGGACCTGCCTGGGCCCAGGAGAGCAGAGCTGTCAGTGCTGCAGCTGAGGGTCACCAATGCTATAGATAATAGCATATGGATAATGCTTTTTTTGCTGTGGTGGCAAATATCTCACCTGATTTGTTTCAGGGCTTCAGTTGCCTTTTTTTGTGACTGTCACACTGGCAGCTGATGGCCCAGAACTAATGCATCTGGGACCTCCTGCCACTTCCAGCAACAAAGCAGCAGAAACTGCTGAATTCCAACGTTGTGAAATTAAATCGATTAAGTTTCCACTCCCCTCATCCAGGATGAACTTCAGTTTCCCTGTTGGTGTTTGTCTTTCCCTGCCACAGCAGCCTTTCTCAAGTCTTTGTCCATCATCAGTATCTTTCTGTTTTTATGTCAACTCCTTCTCAAAGTATTAATCCCAAACCTAATCTGGGGGGTATTTTTCTAGAAATCTGCCGCCTGCCCAGTATTTCTCATTTAAGTGCCACCTGCTTTCTTGTTGCTTGTGATCTTTCCAGTTTACCTTCTAAACTTCATCCTCTCTGACTGAAGAGGATGAAATCCTTGTTTCCTGTGGAGTGTTGTCTCTCATGCACTGTGTGTATCTGGGTGAGAATCAACCACATAGGCTTGATCTACACAAACAGCTTATTTTATTTACAGAGAAGTTTGCATGGGTATGAGCTGTGTCTGGTTAGTGCCATGTTGATTCTCCTTCTAAGTTATTTATTATCCAGTTGCACCCACATGTTTTAATTGCTTTCTTTTCTTCAGACTGTTTTCTAAAGCCTGGGTAATGCTGATGTCAGCCTAGCAGGCTTGTTGCTGCCTGAGTCTTGTCTCCAAGCCAAACTCTTCAGTTCACACACTGGATTTGCTGTTGTGGTTGAAGAGAACCTCCCTCCCTTTTTAAGGGTCTGTGCAGCCAAAACAGCATATTCTTTCACTGCTGCATCCAGAAGTCTGGAATAGGCATGATCCAGTCTTTCCCTCACCTCACACATGTCTGGCTGTCTTTGCAATCAGCTAGTACACCTAAATATTCACAGCTTTAAAATCTATTCCCTTTTCCAAGGACAGCTGGCAAGACATTGAAGCCCCCGATCCTGCTGTGGTGTTGATGTCACATTGCGGGAGAGTAGCTTCAGCTGTGGTGGGACAGCACTGAAATATGGGGTACAGGAGGAAAGGAAGGAGGAACTGTGATATATTTTTAAACTCCAAAAGAAAGTCTGAAAGCCCTTGTAGCACAGGAGACTCAAAAATGTGCCTGAGTTTCCTTTCAGACTCATCTTCCTCATAGATTTCTGGTCGCTGTCTCTGCCTTAGCATGGAGGTTTTGGTCTCCTGCTCCACATCACTCATATTCCCTTGCCTCATCATTTGAAGATTCAAAGGACAAATGTGATACTTCCTTCTGACTGTGTCAGTGAAAACCACTTCAGATTTGGATCACAGACATGCGATGTGTTGATACTTCTCACCCAAATAGTGATCCTGCAGTTGCCAAGGGTTGATGATTTTTCCCCTTAAGAAAGTTGATATCCCTTGGCTAAGTGATGTCCCTGCTCTCAGATGCAATTGTGGCAATGCTAAATTTCCAAGGGTTACCACTGCATGTGGTGGAATCTGGGAACCTCAGTAACAAGCTATAAAGTCAGGAGAAGATCCAAGATGCGAAGATCTTGGCAGCTCCTCCACGATGGAATATCCTGCTGTACTCAGGGTCATGGTGCCAAAATGCAACAGAAACCATTAACTCACTCACATGCTACTCCCTCCTCAACAGTGTAATTTATTTCAGTATTCCTTGGCCTTCCCAAACTTTTTGGGAGTCCCAGGGGCATTCCAGAGATTGATAAACCAGTGGTACAAGATGCCTGACTTGCTCTCAGCATGAATGAGTGGAATAGGAGGGATGTGCAAATTCCAGCCAGCATCTGGCAGCAGGGAGGGCTGGGACAGGGGTGTGTGAGCAGGGATGCTGCAGGTGCTGGGGCTGGTGGGCAGGGGGTGGCCACAACTTGGGGTCATGGGGCAAGGCTGTGTTGGGTGTCAAAGGCTGATCTTAGTGGGGTGGACTCCATTAAATCACTGTGTCCAGCCTGCTGCTGGCACAAGAGGGTTGCAACAGCCCTGGCATGCCTACCAGTGTGATCCCAGATGTTTTGGGGATGCTTTGGGCTCAGACAGCCTGGGCTTGTCTCTGTTCACACACCTTTAGCTGCTCTGACCCAGCCTTGTGGAGAATGGACACTCCATCCCATGGGACACTGCAGATGCTGTCCCCCTCATGCTGCATCTGCCCTGGGGCTTAACCCTGCTCCAAAGCCACCATCATGGCCCAGCCAGGATCCCAGCTGCTTTTCTCCTCAGGATGCTGTGTGTAGTGTGAGCAGACAGTTTCTGAGCGAGGAGACTTCCTGCAGTGGAGCCCTGTAAAAACCCACAACCTGCTGCCAGGCCAGGCCTTGCTCTGGAGGGTTTGGCAGTGCTGGGCAGGGATGGTGTCACCACTTTGGAGCTCACAGCCTCAGGATGCAGCCAGTGCTGAGTGCCGGTGTCTTCCCCTGCCAGCTCAGCACTCCCAGCCTCCTCCAGCTGCACGGGAGCAGCCTGGCAGGGATTTTTTTTTCCTTTTTTTTTTTAATCTCTTCCTCTTTTTTTTTTTTTTTTTATGTCTTCCTCTTTTTTTTTTTTTCTGGAACCCTGTACAGCAAAAGCATAGCAGGGATCCCAGGGGGTTTGCTGCTATCCAGAGAAGATGCCTTGTTCTCTGCCAGATCTTGCTCTGGGGAAGGGCTGGAAGAAATCCATTCTGCAACATTTCTGCTGGGATTGTTGGCAAGAGCCCTGCAAAGTGCACAGCCACTGGCCAGGCTGGTCCCTCTGATAAAAAGAGGACTGAAGAGGTCAGAGCATGGCTGCGACCTGTCTGACCTCTGCTCCCTCCTCTCTTTGCTGCAGATTTGCCTTTTGTTGAGCCCAAAGAGCCTCCTGCCAAGCCAGTGCTCCTCTGGGGCTGTGACCTGATGCTGCAGCAGGCACTGAAGCCTTTCCCTGGGATGTTTCCATGCTGCCCTGTGCAGCACCAGCATGAGCTATTTGCATTTCTAACAGCCTTAAGTCAGCCTGAACCACCCGGGGTCTGCTTCTGTCCCCGTGAGAAAGGCTCTGACTGATGCACGTGTTAATCTCAAAAACAAACGCCTCCACATTGTTTTTACTAAATATAGGAGCAGTGTCTGCTGCAAGGCACTGCTGGCAGCCCTCAGCAGGGTCACAGTCCCACATCCAACAGGAGTTTATCAGCCAGAGGGGAAAGGGGCTCAAGTTCAGTGCTCTCTGCAGATGTGAGCTGCAGTGAGAGGAGTTTTCAAGGTCGATCTCTTCCCTGTCATTTGCAGAGGGCTGAGCCTGGAAATGTGAACTGGGGCTCCTCTGGGATGAGCATCTCAGCCGAGCACTGTACGTTGGATTCAGTGCTTATCTCCCACTGGCACAGATGCTATTTCAGCCTCCTGTGGGGTAACTGATACAGAGGATTGAGGAAGAAACTGTACCTTCTCGTTGAGTCACATCTTGATCAATCCAGCGCTGCAGGAAGTGTCATTTCCCACGGACGCGCAAGCGTACAGGCACTGCTGATGAAATTTTGTGAGGTCAGGCAGTCATTTCCTCCTAATTACAGCTCCAGGAATGAATAATGTTTAGCTGAGACCCTGGTGACTTTGTGCTTTGGTGCAGTTTTCGTTTAAGCAAAATACAAGCATGTCAAAATGAACACAGGATCTGGATTTTTCCTTCTGGTTATTTTGGTTGTACAGATGCCATCTGGGACTTGTGTAACAAATGTGGGGTTGTTTGGTGATGGTCAGTGAATGAAAAGATCCAGGGCCCCAAACTGTCATGCAAAAAGCTTCTGTTAGAAACCTTCATGTTGCCAGAAATGTCTTGTGGCAGATGCTTTTTCCAGGAACTTGGAGGACTGGAAGAGCCTCCCAGGCCACAGTCTCCTGAACAATGTGTCCTATCTTCCCCTTCAGAAAAAACAGAATTCTCCATTTTAAAACTCATGGTGTGATTCCTTCTGTGGAAGCCAACTCCAGGACTGCACAGCCCCCATGGTTACAAACCTTGTCATGTGGAAATTGTGGTGGCATCCTCTGCCAGTGGAGAGAGTCAGAGCCAAGCAGCAGAGGGTGGGTGAGTGGGGGGAGAGCTGCTTGAAAGTGTTGCTGCAAGTGAGAGCCTGTGCCCCTGCCATGGCTGGCTCCATGTGCTGGGTTTGGGATATCCAGGCCACATGGTTCTGCCCCCACTCTGCTGGAAACAGGTCCCTGAGGGGATCTCAGAGGCTGAGCTAAAGCAGATGCTTCCTAGCCTGGAAGGTGGTTGCATCCCTAAATAATTTATGAGCAGGAGAACTTGAGCAGCTGTCACTGACTGGGTTTTGGTGCTGCACTTAGGGCTGGCCACATCCAGCCTTGGGTTTGGAGCTGCTGCAAATGGACCTCCAAAATGAAACAACTGATCTGCAGGGCAGGGATGGGGCAGGGGCAGCCTGGGTGACTGTCTTCAGCTTCAAACACCAGAGGAGATGCTGCTGGTTTAGAAGGGATGGAAAAAATATAAATAGCAAATAAGAACTTCAGTAGATTTACTGGTCAGACAAAGCACCTGACCAATTTGTATGCTCTTGTTTGCGTCTCTGAGCCTGGAAGTGCAAACTCTGAGCCTGTGGGGGCCCAGCACAGAGCTGCCAGTGTTGGATCTGCCCTCCATCTCTGCCAAGGACAGAGGCAATCCCACCCCTCACAGGGCTGTGGCAATGCTGGCAGGGTCCTGTCTCCTCTGGGTCATCCCTCAAACATACAAGCCTGGACAAAGTGGCATTTCCCAAAAACATATGGATCAAACTTTTCCTAATTGTTCTTAAAATTGTAATTGTTACCTTTATTTATGGTGTTTTATTTGATGAAAAATACGTCTGGACCTTTTGAATCCTAACTGCAGATTTTGTTACAAAGTAAGGGGGATGGAAGAGCATTGCTTGAGCATCCCTTCCAGAGCAAAATGAGTTTGTCTCTGCTTGGGAGAGGTTGCCTTATCCCAGCTTGGGCATCTCAAGAGAGGCAAGGGAAGCAGACCCTTCCAACCCCTCTGATTTTCCTGTCTCCTTTTTCAGCCTCTGAAGAGATGAGATCCACCTGGCAAGGCAAGGCTGGTCGCAGCCCTCTCCAGGCCCTGTACGAGAGTGACCAGGTAAGGGGACAGGGACACAGAAGTGGTGGGCTGAAGATCAAGTGGAGCACTAAGTGCTGACCCTTTTTTCTACTCCTCTGGTGTGTGGGGCACTGTGCCAGGTCCAGCCACCCCCAGGGTCCTTGCAGCTGGACCTCTGGCTGTGTCTAAAAGACCAGACCACACTGCTTGAGGGAGTAACTTGATAAACACTGCTTCTGGCCCTTGCTGGTACTTGGGTAAATGTTTTAATTACCAGTGGGATGAGCCATAGCTGGGCAAACCTGGGAGACTTTGCCATCTGAACATTTCAAAGCCAACTCTGTGCCATCATAGCTGGGCAAGAGCTTCACTGCTGTCCTTCCTGAGCTAATAATTGACAGATGTTTCTGTGTTAGCTGCTATATATACATGCATAGACATAGGAATCTGCACTTATATATGTTTACATAGATATAGCTGGACTCAGTCATGGGGGATTTATAATCCTGGAACCTCTCAGGCCTCTCCATCACTCTGAGCTGTGCCCAGCTATATCTGCTGAGAAACGAGCAGCCAGGCACAGCCTGGGCAAAGGATCACTCCCCTCCAGGTGGGCTTAGTGGGTCCCTCCCTGTGCAGGAATCAGGGAAGGTGTCCTGCTTGCCCCTCACAGTGGGGCCTGTAGTCAGAGCTATAAAAAGTGTTTGTTTCTTTCTGCTGCATTTCCCCCTGGGCAGGCAGTTTTCCCCTAATTCAGCCACACTTCCCTTTGCAGAAGGATCTTCACCCACAACTTCCCTGCAGGAAGCCCTGTGGGAAACCACCCTCCAACGGGTGCCATGCCACGTGCCCCCATGAAATGTCCCCTGCATCTCCCCATGTCCATGGGGCTGTCACCTGCTGCAGCCCCCAAGAGCAGAGGGCAGTGCTGGTGGCCCCTCAGTGGGCTGCCACCCCTGCTGCCTCCCCAGTGCCCGTGGGCAGCAGCCAGAGCCAGCTTTTCCCATAGCTGTTGCTTTGTGTCACTGTCTAGGTTGATGCTCTTACATCTGTAAGCAGCCAAAGCACGTTTGCTCTCTGAAAAATTACAAATATGGACTCCCTTGGCCATGATGCCAGCAAGCCCTGGCGCTGCTGGAATGTCGTGGTGCTATTTCCTTAAAAGTGATGCTTAATTTCCCTGGGTTTTAAAGAGAAGGAAATGAAGGGAGCAATTTTGCTCTGAAATAACTGCAAGACATGCATTTATTCCAGTGGGCGGCTGCTGAAAAGTAGTCACATTTATTTGTTGCCATGCCTGCAGACAGTGTCTGTCTGTCTGTCTCTCTGGTCCAATAGTTTTGAATTATGCAAGTGCAGGGAAAAACACCTGAAAAAAAAATGACATTATTAAAATACCTCTTTTTCTTAGCCCTTGCAAAAAAGTTTTCCAATTGTAAAAGCTGACAGGGAAGCTCCAAACAAAAAGAAGTTTCTACTGAAAGGTTTGGCTGTGTTGCAAGGCAGCATGAGAATGCTTCTTTAGCTGTGGTTCTCACCTCCCTAGGTGCTGTATTTTCTTTGTAGGCTAGTAGCCAACAATGTCAGAGTCATACCTTGCTGGCAGTTGGCATCTGTTCACCTGAATTGCCTTCATTTTGGCATTTTCCCTTATCATGTCCCTGCTGGAAGGATTAAGGATGGGATGCTTTCTCCTGTCCCTGTCTCAGATTACTGCCCATACAGGTTCCTGGAGAAAGTGGTCACTAAGGTGGCCTGGACAAGGTTCTTTCCTTTGTGGAAATAAGCTCCAAAAGAGTCTGAGTGTGGTTCCTCCCTTGCAGAAGGAGCTGTTTGCCCAGATGTTAGTGTCTCTCTGGAGATGTCTGGATCACCCACAGGACGGACAGTTTGTCTTACTGTCCCAGCTCCTGGCAGGAGCTTTACAAGCCCAAAGTGGGAGCCACTCTGATGTTGGGAGGTGGCATGAGAGCCGCAGCCCTGTGGGGTCAGAGCTGCCCCAGGTTAGCGGGTGCTTGGTACTGCTGTTCCCAGACAAGGCTGTTGGATGTTCCCAGCAATGAGGAACACAGAATTTCCCAACCCTTGTGAGTAAAACGGGGACAGAGTGGGCAGGAGGAGGAGGGGATCTTCCCCTTCTAACTTCCTGGAAATGGTTTCCTACCCCAGATGTTCTAATGACATTTTGGGATTTCTGAAAAAAACCGTGACAGGAGAGGTCATGTCCCCAGATCTGTAAGGGGGTTTTAGCTGGGTCAGGGGTAAAGGGACTCTGGGCTTCTGGTAAGCCAGTGCAGCAGCTGCCAGCTCTTGATGTGAGGGTCAGAAGGGTTAAAGGACCATGTGTTGCTTCCTCATCCCTGCTGTCAAAGGAAACTGTGACCAGCGCTGAGGCAGTGGACTGGCCTGTGTGGAAGAAGTCCCTCAGGAGAAGGAGCGCAAAGCTTCAGGAAGGGCCCCAGCACTACCAACTCAGCCCCTTGGTCCTCTCCATCATACCTGCCACCCCACCTCATCTCCAGCTCCCCTCCTGCTCACCAGGGTTTGATCATCAGCATTAGAGACCATTTCCATTTGCCTTTCCTTGGCAGAACACCCAGGCCATTTCCATCCAGCGTGCCCAAATTTTCTGCCACATTTCTGCCCCTGGCTGGGTGTTCACAGCAAGCACATGTGTGTGGGTGTCAGTGTGAGGCAGCAATGCCCCACAGCAGCAGGAGGTGTGCAGGGCCCTGTGCCAGCAAACAGGCTGTGCTTTCTATTCCTGGGGCCATGCGTTCCCCTGACTGCTGTGAGGGAGAGCAGTTAACCCAGTGTGTGAGTCTGCTTTTAAAAAAATGCTCTGATATTGACCCTCTCTGCACCACCCCTTCTTCCCTCACCCCCTTTGATTTTCTCCTCATCCAGCTCCTCATCATGTTTTATCCTTTCTTTTGATGTCCAAGGATTAAGTGCCCCAAATCAAGATGTGTTCAAAGTGAGTGCTGTCTCCAAAATTCCACGTGTGACTGACCCACCCACTAAAAGGGAGGCAGTGGGGACAGTTGTGGGCCAAGTGTTGCGTGTAGGCCACAATTAGCTTGAGCAAGCTGGTGATGACCTGTGTTGGGTTTTTTCTCCCCAGTTTGAGCAGTCGTCCCTGCAGGCAGTTCACCAGCAGAGACGGGAGATGTTGAGCAACATCTGCAGCCGTTACACCCGCAAGCGGCGGCTCCTGCGGCCGGACGACTTGCGGCACTTGGTGGTGGACGACGCGCACGGCCTGCTCTACTGCTACGTGCCCAAGGTGGCCTGCACTAACTGGAAGCGGGTGATGATGGTCCTGACGGGGCAAGGCAAGTACCAGGACCCCCTGGAGATCCCCGCCCACGAGGCCCACGTGGCCTCCAACCTGCGCACCCTGTCCGAGTACAGCGTCCCCGAGATCAACTCCCGCCTGCGCAGCTACCTCAAGTTCGTCTTCGTGCGGGAGCCCTTCGAGCGCCTGGTCTCGGCCTATCGCAACAAGTTCACTCTCAGCTACAACACGGCCTTCCACAAGCGCTACGGCACCAAGATCATCCGGCGGCACCGGCAGGAGCCCAGCGAGCGCGCCCTGGAGCGTGGCGACGACGTGCGTTTTGAGGAGTTCGTGTACTACCTGCTGGATCCGCGCACGCAGCAGGAGGAGCCTTTCAACGAGCACTGGGAGCGGGTGCACTCGCTCTGCCACCCCTGCATCATCCACTACGACGTGGTGGGCAAGTACGAGACCTTGGCCGAAGATGCCAACTACATCCTGCAGCTGGTGGGGGCCGACACGAGCGTCAAGTTCCCGGCTTCATCCAAGACCACCAGGACGACAGATGACATGACAGCCCAGTTCTTCCAGGACATTAGCCCCTTCTACCAAAGGAGACTCTTTAATTTATACAAAATGGACTACTTGCTATTCAATTACTCCATCCCCTCGTACCTCCGCATCCGGTGAGGCAGGGGATGCGGGGGAAGAGGTGAGGGAGAGCTGGATAACTCTCACCTCGCCACAATTCCTCTCCTGCTGCCTTGAGCTCATCTCTTGGTTGACTTCTTCCCTGTGCCCTTTTGTGAGGGTCTGCTCCATCTCCTGATGCCTTGTTCATGCATGCTCTGGAGGAAGAACACTTCTCAATACACTGGGGCTGGAGCTTTTCCTTCCCTTTCCCTCCCACCCTTCAATATCTACAGGGAATGGTGGTGGGACTGGACACTTCTTGCCTTGGTTGGGGACTTTCTTGTAACTAAGAGACTCCTCTGTAGATCCAAATCTTGGGAAGGCTCCTTTTTCGGGCAGGATCCCTTCAGGTCTTTCTCCTTCTTACTGAGCTGTTTGGGGGCAGACATGGAGTCTCAGGGGTCAGAGTGGAGTGTATCAGAGACTTGCATAGAACCAGAAATAAAGCAATAATTTAATATAACTTTTTCCTTTTATTTAAAATTGCTCCCACCTTTTCGTCTTGTTCCCCTCTGTCCTTTGTGCCATCCCCTACCGAGGGGGATATAACACACAGAGGTGTGTTACTCTGACCACATTTTTATCCCTGCAGGTTTTTTTTTGTTCCTCTCCTTCCACATGTTCTCAGTCGGGGTGCAAAATTCTCCAAAGATAGAGAGGAAAAGCTTGCAGCAGGTCCTCAGTGCTTTCCCCTGAACTCCACAGCAGAGTGCTGAGTGCCTATGTGTGCACGTCTCTGGATTTCTGGTCAAATCCATTAAATCCCTGCTGGCAGTGCTGGCATCTCTTCCCATGACAGCATGGGCTGCTCCTGTGTGCAGCCCCTTTATAAAAGTTATAAAGTGTTTGGGGGAACACTGGGCTGGGATGTGGGAGATTGCTGTGGTAATGGAGAGGTAATGTTGGACTGGGAGACCAGAAAAGTCTGTGTGTGTATGTTTGTGTGTGTGTGAGAGAGAGAAGAAAAATTGAGGATAAAAACGGGGAGAGAGACACCTAGAGGGAAACAGTCCTTTTCCTGGTTGCCTTTGGATAATCATTCCTTGAAGAAAAAACAGGGAGGAGGGAGTGAAACATAAAAAATAAAATGACAAACCGAGCCCTAGGATTTTAAATTAAAGCCAGTCCATATTTTAGTCTTTCCTCTTTTCTGTTTGGCTTTGGCTTGCTGGCTGCCTTTGTAAATAAACACACTGGTAATAGATGCTGTAGAGTTTGTCTGCTGGCTTGGCTGCAAACACTTGACTTATTAGTGCAATACAATGGGAGGTTTTATAAAACCACAGTGCTCTCAGTATCTGTAAAAAAAATGGTGTTTCCATCTAACAATTTTCAGCTGTTGTAGCTTAACCTTTTTCCTCTCTGCCTCTGACTGGCATCTCTATGCTGACACTCCCTCCTTGCTTGCTCCATTGGAGATGGGCTTTAGCAAAGCAATGAAAAAGAAAAGTAAATGAAGCTGCTGGTGATCCTGGCAGTGTGACTGATTTCTCCCAATCTGCACTGGAGATCTTGAAGAAATGGCCTTCCTCATGCTATCTTGGTATCCCCCTGTCTAGCTGAAACACAAAGCACAAAAACAGATTATATGATGCAACAAATTTCATCTGCAGCTTTCAGGCTTGGATTGCAATCCTCCTGCTTTCTCAGGAGTCTTGTGCTCCCTGCTTAGAGCTGCCTCTGCTTGGAAAAATCATTGTTCAAATCACTGCAAGAGCTTTTCATCGCTTTTGGTCATGAGTCAGAATTTGGGGTCAGATGCAGGGTCATAAATGGATGGATTTTTGGATGTTTTTTTGTTTTTATTTTTCCTAAATACTATTCCCTGTCAGTACCTCTAAAGAGCTGATGGCACAATGAGTGGCAAGGACAGAACCACTCACTCCCAGCTGTGCTGTCTGTGGGTGTTTAGACAATATGTGGCTGGCTGGGAGCTGCTTTGGGCTTTCTTTGGTGTGAAAGTGAGGGAACAGAACCCTCTGGGCTTTGTTCTTCAGCCAGGTGGTTTCTAATCTTTGCTGCAGCAGTGGGGAGGTGGTCCCAGCTGTGAATGTCTGCTTGACTGGCAGCCTGTCCTGGCTGATGGATCCCATCAGACCTGACCATGGACCCAATGGCCCAGCCACACACCAATGGACCAAATGCAGCCCTGCAGCCTTGGCAGTGAGCTTCTGAAAGCAGGACCTGTAAAGGAGTGGTTTGGGCCATTTAGAAATTGGACCTTTAGAAACACCCACCTTTGGGCTGTTTCCCTTAAATCCCAACAGACAGCATCCAGAATCCAAACTATTTAGGTCATACCCTTGGCTTCCTCTCTGCCTAAACCCAAAGCTCTCCAAAGGAAAACCTAACCATGCAAACAGAAAAGGGGCACTTTGTATTTCTGAAGCAAACACTTTCAGCCTTGGCCGGAGCTTTTTGGGACGGGAATCGCTCAGCCCATGCCAAAGCCAGATTGCTGGGACCGGGATGTTGCAGGGCCAGCTCTGAGATTGGGATGCTGTGGGATGGGGTCGGGATGCTGCGGGGTCGGGATGCTGCGGGGTCAGGATGCTGTGGGGTCGGGATGCTGTAGGGTCGGGATGCTGTAGGGTCAGGATGCTATGCTGTGGGGTCGGGATGCTGCGGGGTCGGGATGCTGTAGGGTCAGGATGCTGTGGGGTCAATGCCGTGGGGTCAATGCCGTGGGGTCAAGATGCTGTGGTACCGGGATGCTGCGGGGCCGGGATTCTGCTGGGCCGGGATGCTGTGGGGTCAGAATGCTGTGGGGTTAATGCCGTGGGGTCAGGATGCTGTGCAGTCGGGATGCTGTGGGGTCAATGCCGTAGGGTCAGGATGCTGTGCAGTCGGGATGCTGTGGGGTTAATGCCGTGGGGTCAGGATGCTGTGCAGTCGGGATGCTGTGGGGTCAGAATGCTGTAGGGTCAACGCCATGGGGTCAGGACGCTGTGGGATCAGGATGCTGTGGGGCCGGGATGCTGTGGGATCGGGATGCTGTGGGGTCAATGCAGTGAGGTCAGGATGCTGTGGGGTCAGGACGCTGCGGGATCAGGATGCTATGGGGCCGGGATGCTTTGGGATCAGGACGCTGTGGGGTCAGGACGCTGTGGGGCCGGCAGCCGCCGCCCTCGCCGCAGGCACGGTCCGACCCTTCCCGGTCCGAAGGAAAGCGCTGGACGACGAGAGCAGGACGGAGGACGGAGCAGGACGGAGCTAGGAGGACCCCGTGTGTCCAGCGATCCCAACTACAGGCGGTGAATTCCCTGTGTGGGCGCTGGGAAAAATTTCTCTCGGGGCTCCTGGTTGGCTGGGCTTTTCAATCTGTTTCACTGCGTCCCTTTTTCTTTTTATAGGAGAAAGCATCAAGGAGTCCTTCTCTAAAGTGTAACTGGCTTTGGTTTTCTCCTCCCCTTGGAAGAGGGGACGTGGCAGCGGCTGATGTGCAGCCAGGGCGTGACCTGCAAGGGGATGCCCGGGGTCTGCCCCCAGGAGCAAGGCAGGGCATCACCCCCCGGCCCTCTCTGAGCAGGGAGTGTGAGCAGCAGAAGGTGCCGCTCCTGGCCTCGCTGAACAGGGGACCATGGTGGTAATGTCCCCCCAGCCCCCTGAAAGGTTCCCGTGCTGGCCTCAGGCTGCAGAGCTTGGGGACAAGAGACTCTAAATGAGTCAGGTTGGTCCTGGAGTCTTGCACTAGACTTGGGAGTTACTGGGGAGCACCAGGGACACAAGAAACAAGAACAGCCTTACTTTGATACGTTCACAAATATACAATGAAAATAAAGATTATATTATAATGTATAATAGACTTATTGCTGGCTCAATCTATGTATTATAAATTGAGAGATTACATTTGTATATGGTTATAATACTTAATAGACATTTGGCTTATGTTTGTCTACATATGTGGTCTGTACACCATGCCATTTGTTATATAAATACTCATATACTCCCCAGCATAAAAGAGAGTACCTTCTCTTGCTGCACTGTTGAGCTTTGCCACAGCCCAGCGTGGCTCAGGAGTTAATGAACAGCCAGCCCCTTCCTCCCAGTGCCTCCAGCAGCTCCAGCCTTCTGAGCACTCTGCCAGTGCTGTGGGTTTGCTGTGCTATGGAGCTCCTGGCCCCATCCCTCATGGCCCATGTGGAGCTGTTGAGTTTCTCCTTCCAGCGGAACAAAATGGAGCTTCAGTGATCATCAGGAGGTTTCCTTCCAGACTTTCCTGTGCACCACAGATTGGGTTGTTTACCAGCTGGAGGATTAAATAGACTGTCATTGAAGAGCAGAAAATAAAAGTGTGTTCGAGTATGTCTTGGAAGCAGTGTCTCCCTTGAAGGAGGCTTTTCAGACTTACTGTGTTTGCTGGCTGGCACTCCGCTTGTCCCTGGTAAGGAAGCTCCATCTCACAGAGAGTTTCTGGAAAATTACTGTGTTAGGATGGAGGCAGTGAGTGGAAGCAGTGGGGGGAGAAAAACAAATTATTTGGCTATCCCTGAAAACAAACCCCTGTTCCCATCTGCATCTACAGATGGTGACAGACCCTTTGCCTGCAAAGAAAAATCCTTATGCACCCAGGAATGGGGGAACCCCTGACTGCCCTTCCTCCCTGGTTCATCTGGGATCTCCCCAAGGTCCCAGCACTCCAACAAACGTGGTGCTCCAGGGCACCCACCCCCTCCCAAACTCCAGCACTCTTCCTCAGCCCCAGCCCACAACACTGACATCAACCTGAGATTTAGTGTATTGGGCACAGCTAGTGGCTGATATCAGGACTGAGCCTACCTGCACTGCTAATCCAGTGGGAATTAAAACCATGGGACACTAAAAAAATATGTATTGTTTCACTGCCCACTACTAGAGTCTAGCTTGGCTGCCTGATGGCTGCACAGGGTTCAAAACCAGCCAATCTCATTCTCTGCCAACACTCCACATTTTCCTTTATTCCCTCTAAAGATTACAGCAAGGTAAGCCTTCCACAAGCCTCTCACAGCACTGGATGGGTTTCTCAGTCCAGGGCCCACACTGAGCCCAAAGGGGCAGGTCAGCAGCCAAGGACTAAAGAGCAGCAAGAAAGAAGCTCTCTTCTTCCACCTCCTCCTTTTTTAAGGCTATTGCTTATTTGGGAGCTGTGAGGACTAAACACAAATAAAAGTCACTGTTGGCTGAAGCTGAGGTGCTGGTGTCTCTGGCAGGGTGGGTGCAGCCCAATGACAAGCTGGGCACAGTAATGACACAGACACAGCAGCAGAGAAGCCAGGCTGGCAGTGATTTCCCTCCTGGGTTAGACAGAAATCCCTGTGAAATGTCCCCACCCTGTCTGGGCTCTGCTGCCCACACAAGTCTGCTCTGAAACTGAAATTTGTGGAGGAAAAGGGAGTCAAACAACCCCATCTCCAAATCTCCTCCCTGGCCAAATTGCTCCAACACAGCACCACAGGGAGCATAAAACCAGGTAGGGCCTGCTGTGAGGTACTGAAAATTCTTAGAAGCTGAGGAGCCTGCAGGTATTTAAGCATCAAATTTCTGATTTTAAGGGAAGGGAAGGGAAGGGGAAGGAGGCCTGGACAGATCAGGGGCTTCTGGCTCTGCTGGGATGGCTGGGAAACTGGGGCCAGGGGACAGAGCAGTGCTGCCCGCTCACTGGGAGGACTGGGGCTGCTTTCTTAGAGGAGCAAGTTCAGACAGAGTTACAGGAATGCTGATCCAAGC